TGTGTCCTATTTATTTCACTTAAGAGTATTGCCTCAATGTGCATCCACTTAGCTATAAATGTCTCTAATTTCTCATTTTTTATGGCTGAGTAGTATTCCATTTTATAAAAAAACCACATTTTCTTTATCCAGTCTCCAGTTGATGGGCAAGTTCAACCCGTGTGCTGAAGGGGTGTGGAGACTAGGAAGAGGTTTGAGGAGAAAAAGTGGTAAATTCAGTTTGGGGACCTCAAATCAGCACATCCTTTTACAGCCCGCTGTGCACTGTCAGCTTGTGGGAGGCATCTAGCAAGCAGTTGGATATGCAGGCAGGCCTAGTGCTCACAAGAGTGGTTTGGGTGAGGGACAGGTAAGGAAGGTGGTAGCATTTAGATGGCATTGAGCTAAGAGAGATGTACACAGATTAACAGCAGGGAGGCTGAGGCCCATCTGAGGATGGGGACAGGGAGAGAAACCCTGCAGGAAAAGAAAATATGTGGCTGGAGAGGTAGGTAGAAAACCAAGAGCATGCTGCGTCTTGAAACTCAGGGGAAGGAAGGGCTTTAGGAAGAGGAAGGGAGCCACCAAGTCAAAAGCTTTATTGAGATCAAGCAGGATAAGAACTATACATTAGACATGGGATTAATTCAGCAACAGGACAGTCACTGGCATCCTAGCCTGGACCAATCAGGGGAGCGGTGAATGCAGAAGGCCACCAGAATGGGAAGAGGAGTAGGTGTGGTGAGGAAGTAGAGGTAGACCGTTATTCCAGAAATTCAGCACAGACAGGAGGGCAGAGGTGCAGGTGTTGACGCCTGCCTGTAATCCCAGCATTTGAGAGGCTAAGACAGGATCACTGTGAGTTAGAGGCCAGCCTGGGCTACATAGTGAGTGTGTTCAAGGTTAGCCTAAAGTAAACAGTGAGAATTGTCAAAAAGAAATGAAAAGAGATGGGGTAAAGAATGTGGTAGCTAGGGGAAAGCATAGAGCTCACAGTGGGTCTTTTTTTGTTTTTTCTAGTTTTTTATTTACTGTGTGTGTATATGTGTGGCACAGAGGATCAAACCCAAAGGCCTGGTGGGCTGGGGATTTAGCTCAGTGGTACCACGCCTGCCTTGCAAGTGCAAAGTCCTGAGTTCCATCCCCAGTACCAAAAACAAAAAATAAAACCCAAAAACCCAAAGGCCTGGAGCATGCTAACCACATGCTTTGGCACTGAGCTATAACCCCATTCCGTGTAGTTATTTATTTAAACCCAACTTTATATTGAAATATATATAGAAAATAGCCATGTATAGTGATGCATGCTTGTTCTATACTAGCTACCCAGGAGACTGAGGCAGGAGGTTTGCTGGAGTCCAGCAGTTCAAGACCAGCCTGGACAACACAGTGAGACTGCATCTCAAAAAAAACTGTATATATACAATACACACACATACATAAAGTATATATCTCCTTTTTTTTTTGTACCAAGGATTGAACTCAGGACCTTGCATTTGGAAGGGAGGCAGCAGCACCACTGAGCTAAATCCCCAGCCCTAAGTATATAACTACTAAGTGTACAGCTTGCTAACATTTTTGCAATGGAACACACGCATGCAGGATCAGGAAACAGAACCCAGAGTAGGAAATAGAACATTGTCAGCACTTTGGAAGACCCTTTGTGCCCCCTTTAAGTCACAACAACCCAAAGGGAACTACTAGTCTAACTTTTGTTGCCACAGATTATTTGGGTTACTTTTGAACTTTATTACCAAGGATTGAACTTTCACTTTCAAGGCAGGCATGGTACCACTGAGCTAAATCCTCGGCGTGCTCTCTTTTGTATCTTTTTTTTTTTTTTGGTACAGGGGGATCGAACTCAGGACCTTGCGCTTTCGAGGCAGGTGGCAGAACCACTGAGCTAAATCCCCTGGCCCTCTCTTTTTTTTTTTTTTTTTGCGGTATCGGGGATGGAACTTAGGACCTTGCGCTTACAAGGCAGGCACAGCACCACTGAGCTAAATCCCTGGCCCCATCTCTTGAATATCCTTTCTCCACCTCCAGCATGGATAGAAGCCACCATGTGCAGGGTCCATTGGGGCACCCCATCCCCTGACCTTGGAGGGGCTGGATGCTCCTCCACCCCACAAACAGTCCTGCTCCTTGAGGACCAATTTTGCTGCAGTGCTTTCTTTCTTCCCAACCCAGCATGGGTCCAAGGCTCTGGATTTGCAATAAACCCACCAACTCCTCTGCAGATTCAGCTGCAAGAGGCCCAATGACCCCACTTTTAGAAATGCTATCCTCCCCTACCTCCTTGAAGACTGGGTACCATGAACCCATTGGTTCATGGATTGCCCCACAATAGCCTCTCTGCTTCCCCTAGCCATGCCCCCAGGGGACACCACAGCCTTACCACCTGCCCTGGAATGCCCCTTTGCTAAGTCTCAACACTGTGTACAATCTCCAGTCTCTCACACTTGGCTTTTTACCTGAGATCTCTGGTCCCTAGTCGTCAGCTTATTTATTCAACTATTCACTGATGACAACCTTGTGCCAAGCATGTGCCAGTCACTGGAAATACAGCCCAGAATTTCACAGACACCACCCTGCATGGAGCTCACAGTCTGCCTCTGCTTTCTTTCTCTGCCAGCTTCCTCCTACCTTCTCTTCCCTATCTTCCTTGCATATCCTCCTTTCAGCCGGGATTTACAGCCACTTTTCCATCATCACTTGTCTGCTACTAGTATCTTCAGCACTCATGCCTCCACTACCTGGCAGAAACTAATCCTGCAACCAACTCCATATCTTCACTGCACCTGCACACAGCCTGGTGGCCAAAGTTCTTGGCACAGCAGCCTGGCTGGAACCACAGAAAAATTTTCAACCTCAGCCAGGCTCACATTTCTCACCCAATAAATCCTTCTGTATGATCCCAGTCTCTCTCCCATCCCACAGAATATGGGTGTTTCAGATTTGGTCCACAAATCACCAACAAGCTTAAGTTACTGTCACATGAAAAATGAAAGCAAGGGCCGGGGATTTAGCTCAGTGGTGTTGCCACCTGCCTTGCAAGTTAAAGGTCTTGAGTTCGATCCCTGGTACCAAAAAAAAAGAAAAGAAAAATGGAAGCAACTCTGGAAACTATCCAAATGCCCATCAATATAAAACAGAATTATTATACAGCAAAAAGAATGAAAAATAGACAACTACATGAAACAGCATGGTTGTACCTTATAGACATAACGTTGGCTGAAAGAAGCAAGATACAAAAGAGAGGGTTCTCGAAAGCGCAAGGACCGGAGTTCAATCCAAAAAAAAACCAAACAAAAAACCAAACAAAAGAGAGGGTTGGGGATTTAGCTCAGTCGTTCTGGTGCCTGCCTCGAAAGCACAAGGTCCCGAGTTCAATTCCTGGTACCAAAAAAAAAAAAAAAAGATACAAAAGAGAGCATAAGAGGCAGAAAAGAGCCAGAGGCAGAAAAGAGCCAGTAGCAAGGAAATTCAGGACCTGAGGAGCCCATGTGAACTTGGGGCAAGAAGGGTGGAGGTCTCAGTCCTAGGATGCAGATTCCACTAGAGAGGAGGCCCTGCCTAGGCAGAGGAACCTACCTGATTATTTCCTCTGGGCCTAGGAGGAGAGGGAGTGTCCAGACCGAGCACCCCTTCTGTGGATGTGAGGGTGGGATGGTGCAGGGGGGCGCTGAGATTCTGGACACCATTTCCATCTTTGCAAATTTCATGTGGCAGCAACTCATAATATGGGTTGACCTCGTCCCACACTTTCTTTTTTTTGTTTTGATTTTTTTTTTTTTTGGTACCGGGGATCGAACTCGGGTACTTGCGCTTGCGCAGCAGGTGGCGAAACCACTGAGCTAAATCCCCGGCCCCATCGTCCCACACTTTCAATCCCTCTCATTCTTAGCTTCTCAACCCCTCAGGCTCAGCACTCTACTCTGCGCTCCATTGGTACAATTCCTCCATTAAGAATCCTCAGGATTCTCTCCAAACTTGTACACTAACCCTAACTCTTAGCTCTCAGCATGTTCAGCCTTCTCTCAGCAGCCCTCAAGAGGCACTCTCAGTTTATTATTCTCTATACCCTCTTACCCCTTCATTCTATCCCTCCGTATTCATACTGACCCCCAGACCCCGGCGGTCCCCTCCCCGAGGGGAACCGCTAGTCACTCCTCCCGGGAGGCCAGATGGGCCAAGGCCTGGTGCCCCCTAGTCCAGCCCGTCCCGCCCCATCCCGGCGGGCTGAGTCAGGAGGCAGGAACTGGGCGGAGGGGAGGCGCCAAGCCGAGCTGAAGCCCGAGCAAGAGCGGCTGGGCACGAGCGAGCGTGGAGCCCAGGGGGCCGGCACCAAGGGGCCCTGGGCGGGTGGGGACGCGGGGTCGGGGTCGGGGGCCGAGCGCGGATCCGGACCGTCCGGGACCTACCATGGACGCGAAAAAGAGAGGTAAGACCCGGCATGGGGCTGCGAAGGCTCCAGGGCTGGCCATAGGGGTGGAGGCTGGATTCTGTGTATTTCGCCCGGGCGGGTGGGGGTCTGTAGAGGCTAAGGGTGAAGGCGCGCGTGCGTCTGTGACTCAGTTTCCACATCGGAGCCCCGGGAAGATGGAGGAGGGAGGAGCACTTCTCGTCACTGTCCCCCACCCTGGGAATCCCCGGCGGCCAGTCGGGAGGGCTCTGGCGTCGTGGCGCCTGGGAGCAGATGGGAATCTAGCTAGCAGTTTAGGCTGGAGGCGGGGGTGGGGGGTCGCGAGAACTCAGCCCGCACAGGCAGGGCCAGTCCGGCAGCATTGCGGGGGCCCGGCGTGCGCCCCGCCCCGCTCCGTGACCTCTCGCGGCCTCCTGGGGTGGGGGACCCTGGCTTCTGGTCCTCCTGGGGGAGGGCGTCTGGGGCAAGGCTGGGAAGGCCGCCCCGCCCCCGGGTAAACAGGCGCTTCCGCACATTCTTCGCGCGCCCCGCCCCTTTCCTGCCCCTTCTCAGCCAGAGGAGGGTCCCTGCGCGATCCCCTCCCTTCCTGCCCCGCAGCAGGCGGAGCCCGCACCTCGGCAGGAAGTAGGGGCTGAGCCGAGGCCACGCTGAGTCGGAGGCCGAGTCCCCCGCGGCCGCCCTGTCATTAGCGCTAGGGCCGGCGGGACTGAGAGTAACCAGACCAGAGCCCACTGGCGCATCTGTACCTGGTGACCAGGAAGAACCAGCTCCAGCCCTAGAACCTGGGATTGGGGAGGGGACTTCAGGGACCTGACCGCTTCTGGACACCCTCTCCCCTACCCCCAGGGAGCCCCGCGCGGACTCATTCCATGATGTCCCTCTCAGTGCGGCCGCAGCGCCGCCTGCTCAGCGCCCGGGTCAGTAGGAGCCAGTCCTTCGCAGGCGTCCTCGGCAGCCACAAGCGAGGGCCCAGGTATGGAGCGGACGGGTTCTTAATGGTGTCAAGGGAGTTAGATGGGGTCGGGACTGGGTCTGAGGGGAGGCTTTGGGGGGCTCCTGTTGGTCCTATTCTGAGGAGCAGCTTCTTTTTAAGGAGCTTCCCAGTCTTCAGCCCACCACCACCAGGGCCCCCACGGAAGGCCCCAGGGCTCTCCCGGGTATCCAGGATGTTTGGTGTGGCCCATCCAGCCCCGAAGGTGCCGCAGCCAGAGCGGCTGGACCTGGTGTACACTGCCCTTAAACGGGGCCTGACGTAAGCAAGCAACTATCTTCCCCACCTCTTGTCCTAGGATCCCTCTCCAACCCCCATCTTTGCCCCAGCCAGGCACTCCCTGTTTACTACTGGTACCTTGGGCATCTTGAGTCTGAAAGGTAAGTTGACCTATCACCTCTTTTTCCCAGGGCCTACTTGGAAGTGCACCAGCAGGAGCAAGAGAAGCTCCAGGGGCAGATAAAGGAATCCAAGAGGAATTCCCGGCTGGTGAGTGATGTTAGGGATGCCCTGGTCTAATGCCTTTTGTGTGGTGTAGGGGGCTAGGCAGGGCTATCCCTATGTGAAATCGGGGTTATTTTCCGGGATGACTCAGTCCAGGTATGAGTACAGAAGGGGGTATCAGGAAAGGCTGAGAGGGTTTCTGTCCCCAACTTCTTTTCTGTGCACTTTCTGCTTGGAATCCAGTTTCTGCTCACAAGAGCTTCCAGTGGGAGAGGTTGGATGCCCACATAGGACAGCAAGAGAGTATGTTGTAATGGTACAAAAGAGAGGGCCAGGGTTTGTCTTAGGGAAGGGGTCAGGGCTTGCCAAAGGAGGGAACACTTCTGCTAGATGTGGAGGGGTAGGTCTGTGTGGGGAAGGATCCTCCTCATACCTCCTAGGTAGAATGTCTCATCTCCCTCATCTCCTTTGTAGGGTTTCTTGTATGACTTGGACAAGGTGAGTGGATATAGAATGGTATTGGAGGGGTTATCTCATGGGGAAGGGAAAGGGCCTTGGGCCTCAGACCCCTCCTGACCCACCTCTCCCCCAGCAAGTCAAGTCCATTGAACGCTTCCTACGAAGACTGGAATTCCATGCCAGCAAGGTACTTTGTGCAGCGTGCATGCAGAGGGATGGGAGTGATAACATAAGCAGATTGGGGTGGGAGGGGTTTGCTAGGCCTGAATGAGCAACCCCAGTGGTGAGTCCTAGTTCCCCTATTACTACTCTATTCATCTTCCCAGATCGATGAGCTGTACGAAGCATACTGTGTCCAGCGGCGACTACGAGATGGCGCTTACAACATGGTCCGGGCCTATAGTACAGGGTCTCAAGGGAGCCGAGAAGCCCGAGACAGCCTGGCTGAGGCCACTCGGAGTCATCGAGAGTACACAGAGGTAAGGGATGAATGCTGTTGGCAGGAGCACAGGATATAACAGGGCTGATGAGAGTGGAGTTTTTCTTCATTCTCTCCTATTCGTGCTTCTCCCTGTCAGAGCATGTGTCTGCTGGAGAGCGAGCTGGAGGCACAGCTGGGCGAGTTTCATGTTCGGATGAAAGGTACTGAGTTGTAGGGGAGGAAGTGTGGTCAGGCTCTGCCAACATGGCTCATCTACTTCTCCCCATATTCTAGGGCTGGCTGGCTTTGCCAGGCTGTGTGTGGGTGATCAGTATGAGGTATGAGGATGTGCAGGGGAGGGCTGGGGTGGAAGGGTCAAAAGCCCTAGGGCTGCCTCATCGTGCCTGTTTCCCCAGATCTGCATGAAATATGGCCGTCAGCGCTGGAAACTACGGGGCCGCATTGAGGGTAGTGGGAAGCAGGTGTGGGACAGCGAAGAAACTGTCTTTCTTCCTCTGATCATGGAATTCCTGTCCATCAAGGTGATTTTTCTGCCCAGGTGCCCAGGACACTTTGATTCTGTGAACTCCATAACCTTGTGAACTCATTGGACTCTCTTGACTCTGAGATCCTTACTGCTGTGACTCTATGGCCCTATGAATGTGTGGCTCCATGACCTTTATGATCCTGGATTTCCTCATGGTCTCTGTGGCCTTGAGAACAATCTTTATGATTCCTGACCCTGTAACCTTTCCATGATCTTCTGACCTGGTGAATAATTGATCCTCTGAGCCCCTATAGGGCTGTGGACTCTTGAGATCAATGCTCCTACCAACATGGACCTCTATAAACCCCTTGCTCTCAGATTGCTTCAAGCTTCCGTGGCCCCGTGACTCTTAAGAACTCCTATCCTCATGACCTTCCCAAAAGCCTTTTGACCCAATGACCATCTTACATCTGCTATGCAAATCTAGACCTCTGATCTCACCCAGGAGCTCATGGCCCATGTACTCATGTGACCCCACCATGTACTCTTGACTATAGGTGACAGAACTGAAGGGTCTGGCCAACCATGTAGTTGTGGGCAGCGTCTCCTGTGAGACCAAGGACTTGTTCACCGCCCTGCCCCAGGTTGTGGCTGTGGATATCAATGACCTTGGCACCATCAAGCTCAGCCTGGAAGTTACATGGAGGTTCGTGGGGCAGAACAGTTTAGGGGCAGGGGCAGGAGGGTTGTGGCAAGCTAACAAGAGTCTCTTGCCTTCCCAGCCCCTTTGACAAGGATGACCAGCCCTCAGCCACTTCTACTGTCAACAAAGCCTCCACCGTCACTAAACGCTTCTCCACCTACAGCCAGAGCCCACCAGACACACCCTCACTTCGGGAGCAGGCCTTCTATGTGAGTCACAGCCCAGACCCAGGCCTCACTATCTCCCAGAGGATTTTTAGGGATTATCCTGAAATGCTCCTCTCTCTCTCTCTCTCTCTCTCTCTCTCTCTCTCT